GGGCTGGGCGCTAAGACGATCCACCAGGCAGTCCCTTTTGGCCCTTTTGGTGTTTGCGACGAGGTATAGCGGATGCAGCAGCAGCAGCTAGTCGGGGCAATGGCCTGAGTTGAGGGAAGCTATCGAGTACACGCTGGAGTGCTTGCATGGCCGTCTCCATTTAAGCGACAGCGGTGTCGACAGGATGATCAATAGGATGCTGATGAGATGGCCATGGATGGCATGACTAGCAGCAGTGAGAAGAGAGAGAAAAGTCACGTTGTACATAGATATGGATGGCTTAATAATGCCTACATGTACATGCCTACTCCATTACTCGTGTGATGGATCAGCATTGGGCATTTGTGGTGCTGCTCAGCTATGATGGGATCTGCTGTTTTGTTTTTTGTTTTGTTTTGTTTACTTCTGCTGCTCCATGTACAGTACATGTACTTTTCATACTACTAACGGCGAGCCCGATGCGGCCAAAAGTAAACAAACCAATTCTTCACTAGTAGCAGAGCGCTCATTCTCGCACTACCACCCAACGGTGAACAGTCGCGCGCTCACGGCTGACGCTAGTCGAGACAATACGATTAGGGATCAATGATCAATGATCAATTGGGATTAGGTACATAAAGGCATCTGGGCGGTGGCATTGGGTGGTATGCACGTCGCCAAAAGACTAAAGCGGCGAGAACGCTGAGGCGGGGACCATGCAAGCACTCAGCAAGCAAGGTATCGTGTACGCCTCTCATGCGTTCGCTGGCCAAGGCATCCTGGTCATGCCGGCCTTCCATTGCATGGGTCGGCTGTTCTTTTTTCTTCAGTTGTCGACGGCGGCCAAAAGAGCGCTGTACTCTGCATGGCTGCAGTGCATTGCTCCGGACAGGGGTGTCAATGACCAGAAGAAGCAATAACAATGATCAATACAGCTAAAATATGAGAAGAAAACACGCAGAAGACGACATGATTGATTAAAGAGCACAGAGTAGAGAGCTTCATGAGATGGAAGCTTTAGGACCCTTGCACGTGCTACGCGTGTTTTGGCCATGTTTCCCCATTCGGACATGCCAGTGCCAGGCGCGCGACGTGATTTGCACGCGGGCTCAAGCCTTACTTTTTTTCTCAGTCTTTATTTTTTTTGTTTGGAAAATCAATTCAAACGTTCAAGCCGCAAAATAGAGCTAGCAGAGGTGACTTGGCAGCTTGCCGCCGCTACAGAGGCCCGAGTATCTGCTACCGGCCGCGCTGAGACCTTGGGGCCAAAAGACCCCTGTAGCCACTCACGCCCCCCTTCCGGGCGCCACCGGGCCCCAGGGCTCCAGCGCGCCAGGGGACCGCCTCTGGTGCGTGCTGTGCGTGCTGTAACCTGCTGTACTATGCGCTGTCCACGGCAAGTAGCTGTACCGGGCCCCCATGTACTGTACCTAATCGCCTTGCCGATGCAACTGGAGCTCCATGTACCTACCCAATGCCCACCGCCTCCTGCACGTCCACAAACCTGCCAGTCCTAGTCCCAGCACCTTAACCACGTCGTTGCTACACGTCGTATCTTGCATTTTCTCTTCCACGCATCTGCCTCTTCCCCTTGGCTCTACTCCTGGTCGGGGCTCCAGTTGTCTCTTTTTCTTTATTTTGATCTTTAATCCTTCTTCTCCCCCCCCCTAATCCTCTTCCATCTGCCTCTCCAAGCTCATCGAGAGTAATGCCTCTAGGCGCCTCTTAGACCAAAACAACAACAACAAAAACAAAACACACACTCCTCCACCGCCATGGCCACTCCTCTCACGCCGCCCTCCAGCATGGCTGACCTGGATCGCCAGCACCAGCAGGAGCTTCACCAGCAGCATCTGCGGCATGTCAGCTCACCGTCTCCTGTGCGAACCTCTGAGCCCATTCCCGGCCTGGCCCAGAGCGCGCTCCCCGCCGTCTCATCCCCCACCACAGATAAACACCCCAAGGGCAAGAGAAAGAGAACAGCGTATGTCCCTTGTATTTGGCAGCTTTGAATCTTGATTGATCCTGTCTGGGGGTCATTGGCGATCGTCTTCTGCGCGGAATTGATGCCAATTGACCCCTGGCAAGCGTGTTGCGCAAGCCGGCTAACATGTGTTATTGTTGCTACCACTAGTACCAAGGACAAGATGATCCTCGAAGAGGCATACTCCGTCAACCCCAAGCCCGATAAGCAGGCGCGTCTCGAGATCGTGAACCGCGTGTCACTTAATGAAAAGGAAGTTCAGGTATGTCATGCACTTTAACATTGCCCTGTCAGCCCTTGAACCCGTGCCAGGATCGGGGGGGGACCCAACGCGTCTCCAGATTAGAGCCAATTAAACCTTTATGCAACCTTTTATGCCCAAAGACACAGACAGACACAAAGCTGACATGGGCCTCACCGAATTAGATCTGGTTCCAGAACCGAAGACAGAACGACAGGCGCAAGTCCCGTCCGCTGTCACCGCAGGAGCTGGCAGCTCTGCGCTTCAGCGGCATGCACAACATCACATCCGATCCCATCACCTCCCGCAGCATCGTCGTCGAGCTGGACCCATCGGCCTTCTATCCCTCCGACCATTCGCAGACTCACATGGACCATTCGCCATCACCGCCTCATCTTCCCACCAGTCCGATACATGCGCACTCTCACCACGGTGCTGGTGAAGCTATCCACGCCACGCCTGCATCCCGATATGCCTCTCAGCCGTTCCCCGCAAGCAACCAGCCGCACATAACACCGCAACGACAAATGTTCCCACACTCACAGGAGGACGCCAGCCATCCCTCTCAGTCCTTCTCTGGCTCCGTTGGCTATCTCGCAAACCGATGGAACCTGTGCAACACGTATGCCACACCTCTCTCGCGTGATAACACCTACAAGTAAGTTGTCTGCCATGGGACTTATACCTTTCTCACTTTACCTTATTTATATACTGACTCTTGCATCATAGATTCGATCCCTTCTATCCTTCTTCTTGCTCATCTAATACATCTGGAGCCAATCGGTCGCACATGCGTCTCTCCCTCTCTCTTGAAGGCAAGGCTGAGTTAGTGCCTAACAACGAATCTTCGCCGATCCGTGAAACCCCATCGAGACCTTCATCTACTCTACCGTCTCTGTCGCTTCGACGGGGCCTTCAGCGTAGCCATAGTGCACTCCCTGCTGTCACTCTGCCACCCATCTCAACCCTGACCAACTCGCTTCCACCGCATCTTGCTCGTGGTCGCTCTCGTGATGTTCATGCTTGGGAGCTGTGCGCGGATTCCGAAACCCGAGACGAGCTGACGGCCCAGGCTGAGCATGAGTCCAGCGGCTCTGCCATCGCCGCCATTAGCTTGCTTCGTTCCACCAGCAGCATTATGCAGCCCAACACTGCCAAGCGCAATGCATCGCTGACAAAGTATGCGCGCTCCCGCCAACTCAAGAAGCCTAGATTCAATCGTACTACTTCCAGTGTTGCTCGACTAGAGACATGCTGGGCCAGTGATGAAAAGTCACGAGAATCCTGCCACGCAAAAATGAATGTCTCCATGCTTGTCTCCCCGTCTGACTCAGACAAGGAGAACTGGAGCCCCAGACGTGATGGAAGTTCTGCAGAGGGCCGTCGACAGATGCCGCCCGGCAGTCCCATCAGATCACAGAGTGCCAGACGCATCGGTCGAGTGCTGCAGGGTCGAAAGAGCCCAGCATTCCTGATGCGTTCCAACACTGTGCCGTCCGAGGCTCGTTCACCTGTCAAGACGGGGATTCACACTTTGGCCGACTTGGAGCCAAAGGCAGAGTCTCAACGGGACGATGAAGTAAGCAGATTCATGTGTGGCGAGGTCAGCCCCAGCAAAAAGGGCGACATGGACTGTGTTGCAGGCCTACTGTCCCTGAGCCAAGGCGCTTGGAGATAATCGCGCATGCATGCATATACACATAATCAAAAACAGAGGACGAAGGAGCAAACATACACCCAGGGATTGCAGACACACGGACACCTTCTTTTGAGCATTGTTTTCTTTGTTTTTCTACGAAGACATGACTTTTTTTTTTTTTTTTTTTTTTTTTTTTTGAAGGAAAACATAGATTGTTTTCCTTGCACCAACGGGGGCGAGAATGAGACATTTTCCCACTCCTTTTTTTGTTTCTCTTCTTCCCCCTTGACGACTTTTGATACTTTCTCATTTGTCTTTTGAAGAGAGGTAGGGTGAAACAAACCTACCCACTATTTATTACTATTTTGTTGTGTTTTTATTTACTTTTCTTTTCCGGCTTTGAATCAAGAGACTGGAAATGAGCTTTGCTGGATAGACGGATACTGGCAAAACCTGGGAGGCAACTCGTGCTTTTAATCATGTGTGTTTGGAATTTCTTGTTTAAACGGCCCGCGACTGGTTTGCAAAAAAGAAAACGAATGTTTCTGGAAACTGGGGTTTTTCTTTTACGGAGGAAGAGGGGGATTTTGTGCATCACAAGAAAATGGAGCTGATTGCCATTTGATCAGATTTAAAGGAAGGGACAGCATATTTCAACGGGCGCATTATGGATGGAACGGCCTTACTGGTGGGAAAAAGAAACAAAGAAACAAAGTACTGTTCCGTCTACGTTGGTTTTTGCATAGCACGCCAATGAACAATAACAACAATGTTTAGTTTAGAGAAATTAGAACCTGATTTTGAAGAAATCTGTGCGAATAAATGTTTCGCAGTGTGTCTTTGCAATTCAAGCTGCTCAAGATCTTTTGCTCAAGCCGTGTCTAGCTATCTACTCTAAGCTATAGACTGTATAAGGTAGTAGTTGTAAAAAAAATAAGAGAACCAAAGACAACCCAGAGGGGGCAGCGTCCATATAAGGGAGCCCACCAGTCATATTCCAACGCCAAAAAAAACTCCCAGCATATCTACATCTAGATGTTCAGCAAAGGTGGCCAATAAGGGGCGCAACAAAGCAACAAGATAAAAATTCTTGACAAGACACGCTTATATATTCGTCAAAGGGGATCAAGAAAAAGCAAGTGTCCATCGGGTAGTAATTACATGCCTAGCATGCTCATCTGTCTCCTGATAGGGCTGGCGGCGGTGCTGCCCTCTTCGCTGGCATAATAAGCACTGTCAGTGTCGATATCCCAGCTGTCATCGTTTTCCTCTTCGCCAGAGGGTGAAATGCCAGACGCATCGAACGGCTTCTGAGCGGCGGCACGAACGTTCCATCGCAGGGTGCGGCTAACGCTGTCGAACCACTCAGTGTCGGTTCGAGTGACGGTAGGGAAGGGATACTGCGATGCAGTGATGGTAACATGGTCGCCTTGCTTGAGCTCGACTCGGCCCTTGCCGTCAAAAGCACAGTAGGCGGTGGCTCGAGAGTTGCGTGGCACAGCAATACGGAGTGCCATGGTGTCGGAGAGGACCATGGGTCGGAATGAGAGAGTGTGAGGGCAGATGGGAGTCAGGAGAATGGCGGGAATGTCAGGGTGGACGAGAGAGCCACCCGCTGAAAGAGAGTAGGCTGTCGAGCCGGTAGGTGTGGAGAAGATGCAGCCGTCGGCCTGGACCACAGTCAGGAGCTCATCATCTCCGTAGAGCTCAAGGTTGGAGACGTAAGGAGATGGGCCACGGTCAATGACAAGTTCGTTGAGGACCTCGAATTGCTCTCCTTCGTCCATGGGGTTGCCGTTGGATCCTTGTCTATAAACGGTGCAGGTGAATCGCATGCGCAGATTAATCTTCATACCATCATCGCCCATGACTCGGTTCAGATGCTTTTTATAGTGTTCAAACTCGAAAGTGGTCATGAAGCCAAGACTTCCCAAGCTGAATGAGAGGACAGGGGGCACCACGCGCTGGAAGAGCCATGACGTGAACAAGACCGTGCCGTCGCCTCCCAGGGTGAGAACAAGATCAAACTTCTCAGGCTGGCTCCAGCACAGATCTGGGGTCCAATATTTAAGCATGTTTTCAAATCGCGCATCTCCAGCGACGATGCTTGCCGCATTAAAGCGCTTTGAGTTGCGTAGCTTGGCATCGACGTAGACATTGACTCCAACATCCGATCCATAACGAGGGGTTTGCAAGAGCCACGTTGTCAGCTCCCGTGTGAGGTAAACAAGCTGATTATCCCGAGCCTTGGTGACAATCATGATATTGCGCACTGCTTGCTTGATGGGGCGTCGCTGAAGTTGCTTGGAGACTTCGCGCACGCTGGTCGCAGTCTGGACTAAGCGCGAATGTGACATGGACTCGTCGTTCTTAATCTCCTCGAGGACCTTATCGATGTCGACAGCATCATCAAATCGCTGGTGGTAGAAGCATGGCGATAGCAGGTTGCTGATTGCTGTGGTTGGTGTAGATCGCTTCTTGGCCAGATCTTGGAGCGCATCTGCGAGCTGCTGGGGACTGGCGGCGGCGGACGAGGAGCCGCCGTTGGCCTGAGGGAATAACATGTTGTTGAATGAAAGTGCCTCTGGTTTCCTGGGACGAGAGACGGAAGAGTTTGTAAATGCGAGGGCCTTCAGGATAGTTTGGCGGGGAACAAGCTCAAGCGAGGCGGCTGCTTGATAAGCTTCGCGCTGCTGTTGCGCCTGCTGTTGCGCCTCCGGTTTGAGTTGATTGGAGTCCGCAGTCGAGAAAATGGCGGTCTTGGGCGACGCCACGGTCGAGGGTTCTGCTGGTGAAATAACAACAGAGGTCACGGGAACATCCGAGGTACCAGAGCCACCTAGTGATGGGATAGCAGTAGAGGGGAGGTTCGACTCAAGTTCATAGCGAGAGGCCTTGGTGACGTTGACGGACAGGTTGTGAATGCCGGACGAGGACTTGGGGCGGCGGTCAAATATGTCGTCGGACTTAGCCAAGAGTCGCGAGGTAGGGCGGTCCTGCGACTCAAGTCCGCCGTTGCTCTCGGGGGAAGGGTGGAGGTCGGTCCGAGGCGAAACAGTACCGTCCATGATTACTATAGCAGGCGGTAGTGCGGTTGCAGCGCGTTATAGCGATAGGCAGTGGATTATCAACCACGGGCTTAGTGGAGGGTGGACAGTAAATTCCGGGAGGAGCGCAGCGCAGACTTTGTCCCGGGATCCCGTGTTCCGTGGAACGCTGTAGAAGAGTGTAAGCAGAAGCTTCCCGTTGCGAAAGCTCATTGACTGGCAGTGACCCGGCGCTTCTAAAAAGGGAAACGCAGAGGTCGCAGCAGCCCAGGGATTTGCTTACATCAAACAGCGAGTGCTGGGTCAATCAGTCAATCCCCTTGCGCAATCTGCAAAAGGGCAATGCGACGCAGTAGCCAAGAGCGCTAAGGCTCTAGCGGAAGCGTCGGGGGCGAATAACGAAGCTGCGGAGACTCTCTTGGGATTCGCAGTGATGCTTTAGAGGCACCCACGTTGCACTTTCCGTTTTGGAATCGAGGATTTGTCGTCGTCCCGGCCTTCTAGACTACTGCCAGTTCAGTTACGGCTTCTCCGCAGCGTCCAGTCGGGGGCCTTACCTCTTTCAACGCAAGCGCTGGGGAAAAAAAGGACGCTGGATGGGCTCGAAGCAGATCTAGCTGACTTGACTCGGGGTGATTAAGTGATGACGAGAATGGCGGTGGTGGTGGACGTGGCGTGGATGATAACCGAGGAAGCGAGGCTGCAACAGACCAGCTGTAGTGCACGTAAAGAGCAAAGGTGAGGTTCGCAGATGGAGCTGCAACAGGCAGAGCGAGCGAGGGCTGAGGAGGAGATATAAGAAATAAATGGCCGCCACTTCGAGCAGATCAGAGACAGGATATCTCGTGACACGGAGATCAAGGGGGAAAGAGCGAGCCGACGCCTGGTCTTGCTAGTGGAGAAGCAGGAAAAAAATTGAAAGAAGAAAAATGACAAAGAAGAAAAAAGTATATATAAGAGAATAGAAGTTCAACGAAGGAAGCAAAAAAACAAGATGGGAAGGAAATGCAGCAATTAAAAGGAGGACGAACAAAAGACACGCGAGAACTTCCAGAGTTCTGCTTCCGGCACTGCTACTCCAACTAACGATTATACTCAACGTCGATGCGTGCCAGCAAATGGGAGAGGCTGTTTTCGACGCCACGGTCTTATATACATACAAATCCACAAACTCCCAATCGCTAGAATCTCTAACCGCTAGCAATCCCCAGCTTCCAGGTATCACATCTCCCAGCTTCCATCACATCTCCCTCTCCGTAATTGATGCAGCTATCATCACGAAGGAGCTAGCTGGTCGCTAGCTGGGTAGCAGCTCCCTGCTCAGAAACATTTGGCGTTGGCAATGGCGGCGAAACAGAGGCTTTCAATGCGCAGCTCCTCTTTTTTCCCTTCAATTCTTACTGTTTCTCTTCTCTAAACTCTCTTTTTTTCTTTTTTCAGGGGATTCGTTTTGCGGTGCGTGCCGCCCGCCACCCCGTGTACTTCAACCTGCAGGCGACTTTGTATGGGGCAACTTAGTACCTGCAGATAAAAGCTGCCAGGGGTACCGAGCTTCTGAGACGCCAGGCCCGCGTTTTGCTGCCCGGCAATTAAACCGTCATATTGGAGTTCGTAGCTGCCAGCTACTAGTTTCCAATAGTAGCATTACTAGGAATCTAGTAATATTAGTACTTACCAGGCAGTAATATTTGAGTACCTAATATTGCACACAATCAGATATCAATGTGCTATTTCCGGGAGGTCGAGGCCAAATGCTACGCTGCCATTAATCCTCGACTTGCGGAGAAAAAAAAAAGGATCCTGGAGAGAGGCGAAATGCCCATGTCACAAATGCCGCAGCGTATAGGCGCAGGCGCAGATAGTATCAATACGGGGTTGATACTCCATGCCAGATACCCGCCCGTGTTTGATAGTGCGGCGGCTTGGCAGTCTCACCAAACCCCCATGTTTGGTGTTCCGCATCTGCAGGCAGTTGGTTTCAGAGTATGGGGGATGAGTTTATGCAGTTAACTCGCTAGAAGTAAAACCTCACTGCCGAAGGATTCCAAAAGCGGACGCGGCAACCGGATCAGAGCTGTATTGAGTAGACATGTATTATTTGCAGGCTGAATGAGGTTGTTGGATCTTGACGCGTGGGAAGCCTACAGTACTGTTCGCTTTCTAGGTGTTTTATCGCCGAAAAATATAGGCAGATGGCTCTTTTGGAATAAGACAACGGATTCATCTTCCATCATGTACGAATCCTTACCTGTCACCATACAGAAGGCTGACGAGGACATCACCATGCCCAACACAACCAGGGAACACATAGGTAGTTTACACTAGTTTGCAGGAGTAGTTATAGCAATAGCAGTAATAGTATATATAGTAAAGTAGTAAAAGTAGTAAAAATAGCAGCAGTAGCAGCAGTAGCAGCAGCAGCAGTAGTAGTAGCTGTAAGACTACTATGTTAATAAGTAATCTTCTACGTCCCTAAAGGCAACCTCTTAGATAGGTGATATAAAAACAGGCATTACAAGTATTTGCAGGTATATGTGACCCTTTGCAGCAAAACACTAACACAACCTGTCGACGGACGCTGTCAACAGAGACCATCAACAGATTAACACGGTCAACAGACGCTGTCAACGGATGTTGCCGCTGGCGGCCCAAACAGCGTTTCATAGCCTGCGGGCATAGCATTTCAGGGGCTGTTACAAAAGTAAGCCCGCATGTCCGAAAAGCCTATCCACATTCGGGCAAATATAGAAAACATAAGAGAAGGGGGGAAGAGAAGAAAGAAGCTATTCAGGTGCGTCATTTTGTTGATTTTCTTTTCGCTATCCATGCTGCCTCTTGCATACACCACCTGCTTTAAATAATATATAATTTGTCAACACGCTATTCACTATCAATAGTATTCAGCCTGTTGTCTCAACACACCCTCTTCTGTCGACGTGCCGTCACCCATGCCCTGAGCATTGTAAATGATTATAGATTAGGCGAGCTGGTGTATCAACGCAGCTGACTCGCTTCTAGCGTGGCATCTGTCAACAATGGTATCGTCTCCATCATGCCTGCCAGCCTCATCACAAATCCAATAGCGTCCCCCATCTCGTCTCAGCAGCGTTTATGGCTGACCTAGTTCCATCGCTTCTGTTTCCTATGCCAGTTTGGATGTGATAGGGCCTTGCTAACAAGGCCAGTTTCCACAAATCACCTGCAAATTGCCGGTCTACCCCAGGATAAATCCGCATCGCTGCTTAGATACGAGAGCAGATATCACCGTCTCGTGGCGCCGGTGATATTGATAAGGGCAGCCAATGATCCAGCAAGAAAGGAAATTAGAGAGAGTGAGGGAAAAAAAAAGTGATGTATCAACACCGGCGAATGCTTTCACCTCCAGTGGAGACCTTCCGCTGCCTTCGCTTCCAAGACGGAGCGCATAAACTGTTGCATATTCTCGGATTCAGCCCCGTAGCCTCCCATTTCCGCATCATCTCTAGCCTCCTGGCTGCGACAGCACACCTTTTCCGCCGTCTGGAGGACTGTGGCCCACTCGTCTTCTGAGAAGGAGCCTTCGCTCTCGGCGAGCAAAAGGTCGCGGTCAGCCGTGAAGCCCAGCACGTGGACGGATCTCGCTTGATCAATCTCCGCTGGTGTCGGGTCTACCTTGACGCTGCTGCCGTCGGCATTTGCGATTGCCAGGCATGTTGCTGAGGCTACCGTCTTCATGGGAACTGCTGCTGTTAAAAGCCCCAAAATAGAAGCGTGTAAGAGCGCCGGGATGATGCCGAGATTCTGAATAGATGAAGTGTGAGATGAGATCCATTGTCCAACGGTTAGAACAAATCACTTACCAGTCGAGGCTGCATCACTTTGGAATTCACATACGCATTCTCAGGCGTCTCCATGACCTGAAGAGTGACCTGAATCACGCTTCTGGGGAAATTTCTGACCAGGATGAGATGTCGTAGAGCTGGCTGCAGGATAGCCTCCAGCTGGCGCTCACCAGTGCCTAAGATTACAGACGCCAAAGGTCAGAGATGAATCCTCAAGAAATCCTTCCACCAGAAAAGCCAGCACCCTCTTCTTCTCGTTTTGTTCAGGGTGCAATCGTCTGCTTACCTCCAACTCCCGCCGCCGGCCTCACATTCACGTCCACCAACGCCTCGAACGGATTCTCATCCCGGCGCTGCGCCTCTACTGGTCCGTTGACTGCAGCTGTGATTGTGTAGCCGCCGTATGCAAAGTTCGCGGAGCCATCCGCCTTGGGGAGATGTGACAGCTCAGCCGTAAGAGGAGCCATGATTATGTGGGTGTGTGTGTGAAAGAGACAGAAAAATAAGACAGCTTGCAGCAATGAGAAAAAGATGGGTTAGCTGTAAGGCTGCAAGATGCCTCTGAATGCAGATATGGAGGATTGAAATTTTGTCTGCCGTTGGTGTTGCTAGTCTCGATCTGCAAAGGTAAGGTTTTTGTCTCGGTACTTGGGCCGCCACTATAGCGACCTGGCTTCTGCTGGTTCAGGTACTGTCGGATACCTAGTAGTGGGTACCTCTCGCTGGCCGGTGACGTGGGTAGCTTTCAGGGACCAATTCTACGCCATCTTGATAGCGCCTCATTCCACATTATTCATTATCACCTGCAACACACGCCTACATCTCACGCGCGCCACAACATCGAAATCCCCCATCAACTCTCATCACATATAGCCGCGCCATGGCATCACAATCACCCGCCCAGCCGGCCTCCTTACCGCCATTGGCCTCAGGCATCCCCAACCTCAAAGACAGAATCCCAAAGCTCGAGCCTCGCAGAAGGAGACCCGGCCCCGCCAACCCAACGCCTCTTCCTCAGACTCCGGCGCTGCCCTCGCCACCGGACTTGACGGGCTGGAGCTTCAAGGCGCCGAGCAGACGCATTCTTTCAAGGAGCGACCATGACTTATTCCTGGCTTCTCCAACGTATAATCTCATCGCGGCATGGGTCTTTGGCCTGTCGGAATCCGTGGTCGATACGCCCAAATCTGTTATCAAGGACGACTCCCTAAGTGGACCGGTGAAGGCAATCTTGAGCATTTTGGACCGAGCAGAAACTTTCGTCTCTCAGTCCCCTCCTGACGAGCAAGGCGGCTCTCGATTCGGCAACAAGGCGTTCAGGGGCTTCCTTGATCTAGTCGGTGAGAATGTCCCGGCATGGCACCAAAGCCTTGGTCTGCACAACGCCGAGGCCACCGCCGAGGCATCTGCATACTTTCTCCAGTCCTTTGGTAACCGGAACCGTATCGATTACGGCTCAGGGCACGAGCTCAACTTCATGATGTGGCTTCTATGTCTCTACCAGCTCGGCATTCTACAGCGATCCGACTTCCAGGCCCTTGTCCTGCGAGTCTTTGTTCGCTACCTCTCTTTAATGCGTGTCATTCAAATGGCATATTATCTGGAGCCGGCCGGTTCCCATGGCGTTTGGGGACTCGACGATTACCAGTTCTTGCCATTCCTCTTCGGCGCCTCTCAGCTCCTGCACCACCCGTACATCACCCCTCGCGGCATCCACCAGGACCTCACAGTCGAAGAATTCGGCGATGACTATTTGTATCTCGGCCAAGTCAACTTTGTCAACAGCACAAAGACCGTCAAAGGCCTACGGTGGCACAGCCCCATGCTGGACGACATCTCCTCCTCCAAATCATGGACCAAAATCGACGGCGGCATGCGCCGCATGTTTGTCGCCGAAGTGCTGGGAAAACTGCCCGTCATGCAGCATTTCCTGTTTGGATCGCTCATTCCTGCTGCCGAAGGCATGAGCGAAGCAGACCCGTCCGCTGCCAATGAAGACAGCGGCGAGGATCATTCCCATCACGATCATACTACTCAGGCACACGACGGCACGGGCTGGGGCGATTGCTGCGGCATCAAAGTGCCCAGCAGCATCGCAGCCGCTCAGGAGATGAAGAAGGGAGGGCATGTGGAAACGCTTCGCAGAATTCCGTTTGATTAATGGCAAACAAACAACTGTCTGATGCCCCGGTCACTTGATATAGAGTAAAGTTAAATAGGGATAAGAGACTGTTGAACTACCAAGAAGATGCATCTTGCCTTGTTTGTTGTAACTACCGCGGCAAACGCTATTGCCTGCCGCTACTATTGCTATTACTGCCATCGAACTGAGCGCTCCTAGATCCTCACATGTTTCTACGTTCCGTACGTGATTACTTCCTACTATCAAGCCAAGACCTGCAATCGAAAGGCGCTCTTGTTTTTTTCTAGAGTTAAAAGTTTTCATTATCAATTTCAGGCTGTCTATACCTAATTACTCTTTCTTTTTCAAAGGAATGGTCACCTTCACGGCCGTAACGTGCGTTATATATGCGAAGTACATGCCCGCTTCCTTTCATTACGGGAAGATCTACCGAAAGTTATATCCTCACAATGTCCCAATGCTGTTCCTCAGCACGTTTTCTCTTCCACCATGCTGCGGGTAAAACAAAAATCCTCTGACCATAGGCAACCTCCCCATTTGATGTTGATAGGGGAGGCTAGAGAGCCCAAAGTATCTCGAAAACGCCAATTGTGACAGAAACCATCCCCAGAGGTATCTTTAAAAGGATAAATTGACAAAAGAAATCTGATCGTTGACTCGTCTTTCTCATTCTTGAACAAAATAGAGGCAAGAAGAAAAATATAGGGAAAAAAGACGATGAAAAGAAAAAAACATATATATGCCATGGTTGCATTCATAAATGGCTGTAAAACAAGTGGTGACTCTGAAAGACAACATGATCATGTAAAATTCAACTTATGCAGATAGCAATTGACCTTGCATGGGCATAGGACCAGTTTCGTCGCAGAGCCGGTGGTGGTGAGAGGCCGGATGACATCGACGGTTACTTGCATGGATATCGACTAACATCTCCACCAAGGTCTCGGCATCTTCATACAGAGAGCTAAGCTCTGCTCCAGTAAAGCTGCGTCCCATTTTGCAGTCGCCGATTCTGGGCCTCCTATAGGCGGCAAAGATGATGCCTCGGTTGACCTGGATATTTGAAGCTGGACTATTGCCTTCACTTAAGCGACGTGGAGAGTCCTTTCCGGTATAGAAGGAACATGCGTAACCCCGGGCATGCTCATGTGGTAGTGCATCCGTATTGCGATATTCAATCCAACCTTTAGCGCGCAGTATCTTGTTATACATGAATTCAGCTAGTTGCAGTGGCTCATCCATCTGGTGCAACCCATGAGCCGCCAAGAGCCGGCCAAACGAAGGCGTCTGATATGAGCTTGCGCTCTGAGTATCGAAAGACCGACCACGAGACACACTTGGCCAGATGTTCACAACGTATACCAGATCAAAGTCATGTTTCTTTGCAATTCGGGCAGCTTCGAAAGCAGCAGCGTCAGCAAGACGACTTGCGCGGGGAGGCGTAAGTATCAGATCAAAAGGGCCGATGGGCTTAGGCCGGGGAATAAATGCTCCCATGGAGGTCGGAGAGTGTTCCGGTGTATCATCAGATTCCAGCATCGGAGTCTCAGGTGCTGATTCGGCAATATCGTCGTCGCTGAGATTCAGAAATTCATTGAAGTCTGGCTCCCGCAAAGTGGAACTGCCCAAAGAAGTTTTAGACGGGGATGAGTCGCTAAATGGATCATTCAACGGTGGGTGGTCAAACGACTGAAGAATCTGCGCTTCAAATACATCAATGAATGTTGGGTCCATTGCAGTGTCGAATATTTTAGAATCGGCCAAAAGGTTTCGCACAGGTACGATCTCGGGCGAATCTTCTGGAGTCGGTAGAGTATTATACACAAGCGAAGGAACTCCAACACTCTGGTCAGAGCGGCGGCGACAAGATCCGTTCTCTACCGAGCCAGGCGATGGAGGAGTGTCGACGCGAGGCGTCACCTCCAAGCGAAGCGGAGATGGGGATTGAGAACGTGGGCTAGGAATCTCAGGCGTTTCCGTGGTCATTGAATTGAAAGCCGTAGTGACAGTAGCTACCTTCAAATCTCCGCTTGGTGGGCTAGGAAACCGATACTCGTGAAGCTTTGCCACCGACGAGTCTGGCTGAGCGTCTCGGAGAAAGGGTGACGGAATAGGCGAGCGACTGAAGCCCGAACTTGAAGACTGAGACCTCAGCGAGCCCAAGCGAGAAGGAGCAATGTCCGGCACAGAGGGAGAGCGGCAAGTCGCCTGTCGCAAGCTCACTTCTTCTCGGGCCGTCATGCGAGTAGCTGTCGGGCGAATGAAAGAAGGAGAAGGGAACTGGGGCTCTGCTGTAGGGCCATCAGAGGCAGCAGCCCTGAGAGAAGCTAATGAAACTTTTCGTTTGGAGCTGAACAGCCTCAGCCTCTCCAGGCGGTCGAATCCGCTCGACATCGTATGGACCAAGGCAAAAGACTAGAAGAATGAAGGAATGAAGGAGAGAAACAGAGAGGTGTAGCTGATGGGAATCAGTTCCCAGGGGCAGCGGAAGGATGTGTTGAGTGTCGTTGCTACCGTATTTTGTTTTAGTCGTAGACAGTAGAGGTAACAGTTATCGCAACGGGTTTGCGGAGGAAGCGAGGAGTAGAAGAATGGAAATTTTGGAACGTTGGGCGTAATTAATAAGTGGCAGGTAGAACCCCATACAAGGCGAGACGTGAAGCAGAAGTGATTCACAAGTGAGTAGGTAGACACACTGACCACAAACCCACTCCGCAGCGGCTCGCCAAAGGGTGGCTGAAATTGGGCGAGAGAAGGATAATCAGGCGGCTTGCATGCGACAAAAACGTCCAATCTATTGCAAGATTGGTGCGTGATACCCGATCTTCTCTTTGAGCCGGCAAAGAGCGAGTGTAGCGCAAGATATGCGTGTTGTGGTGCGACGATGATGCACTTGGCGATGCTGTGCGCCGTGTGCCTACTCCAAAAGGGTGATAATGACAGGCTGGATTAAGATTGGATATCGCAACTGGGAAGACTGCGAGCCGTGGCAAATCTGGAATTGGCACGCAGTAGAGCAGGAAAGGATATTCCTATCGCAGTTTTGGTAGGACAATGGTCGTCGACTTGATGGGCGAGATGAGAAGATGGAGGCAGGTAACAGATGTTCTTGGTGGAGTTTCTTTGCTCTGAGCTTTTTTCTCATGTGAGTGACTGGAAAATTGTGGCGTCTGGTGTAAGTGCAGGAAAGAACCAACGAGTGAAGTCTTCTTGCCAGGTTCGTAGCTTCTATTCGCACCGAACAATAGAAAGAGCAGGAGCAGAATGCGCAATTCGGCAAGAACAAAGAGAGGAACAGGATTTTCTTCTGGCAAACCAAAGCCCAAACAGTCTAAACAAAACACGACATCAAAAACTTCGCGATCCAGCAGCCAGAGGGGTCGAGGGAGGCTCTTTATCATGTCTCCAGGGCGAGACATGAGACCGAGCGCGCAGTCTCCCTCCAAGACATCCCAGACCCTGGGAAGTTGGGGCTTGCACCAAAAAGCAAGCAAACCAAACACTGGTACTACTGCTGCCAGTATTCTCCCATCTACACGACCTCATTGGCCTCCACTTGGGCGGGCAGATTGCCACACAACTGGCAACGCCAGAAGCAAAGCTGACCGGACACAGACCGTGGGACGATGAGCTACGACTTCAGACGCAGGGCAGAGACAATATGCAGTGGCTAGCGCCGCGGCTCACGGACGTCGACCAGGGTGGCCCTTGGCGGGAAGCCCTCGAGATGGCAGAGATGGCAGAGATGGCAGAGATGGCAGAGATGGCAGAGATGGCAGAGATGGCAGAGATGGCAGAGATGGCAGAGATGCGCCGCAGCCTGACAGCTCCGTGACGATGCATTTGCTCTGCATCTGCCTCCCCCGCGGCCCTCTCGAGGCTTTCTTTGGTTGGTCCTCAACCGTAGTGCGCGTCGGGCGAGTGAGACATCTGGGAAACGTCCAGGCTGAACGACCAAGGGACCAAAGGCCAGTCAGTAGACGCCACTGCATTTTAACAGGGCCTCAGACCCGAAGTATGCATCGCACAGCCGTGCAGTCCAAGACAATACGACCAGGAAAGAGAGACATCGCGGGCAGCACAGATACCCTCGAGCGCACTAGGTTTTCTGTGCCTTGCAGTGTACATCCAATACCCTCTTTCCCGCATCAACTTGTCACTACCGCCCTGGTACTATTGCCTCGCCAAGGGGACAAAAAGAAAAGAGAGAGGGTCTGAACTCGGGTACTGCGACAGCCACCTCCGCCACCAAGTGGTGACTGCTTCGCCTTGCTCAAGCTGACAAGTTCTCCATATCTCTTCTCCCAAGAACGCGAAGAAACATTTCTATGGGCAGTTCGGATCTACAATTCAATCTCCACTTGCCCCGATTAGATCGATAGTTTGTTTTGACGGTACGAGTGCTACCAAGGGCAGTTCAAGGGAGACTCAGACGAATTATAAACCCAGACAGGCCAAGGGCAGCGGCCCCACTTCCCTTCATGCAAGCTACTGCCAGCATGCCAATCTGGCGATCTCACTGCTCACATCTCACATTTTGACTTATATGGGAGAGAGCTGCCCCTTCAATCACCTGCGCTCTAGCTATGGTACTTCGGGGTCAGTCCTTGATCAAGCGGGCAACACAGTCTGGACGTGTGGCCTCCAAGGCAGCAAGAAGTGCCGCCATTTTTACCTGTGTATCTCATATCTGTCAGGACCACACCTCTTTGCGGTTCCCGATTCTTGGATCCGGAAAAGCAGACAGCATATGTCACTAGACTCAGAGGAGCAGCCACTCCGGACAACGACCGCAGTCTATCTTGCGATTGCGTAAATTACGGCCATGGGAGACAGCGTTATAGTCGATAACCAGTGCTTCACAGAGAAGGAGTTTGTACGTACTTACATGTTTCTTGGGTCTATGCGCTCCCTGTTTCGCCCCTTCGAGATAGAGTTGCACGGTCGCCCTCATTTTGTACCCACCATGATACATAACGTTCACTAAACGACAGCTCTTTTTTTTTTTTTCTTCCAGGGACCTAATTACAGAGTTTTTTGGCAGCGAGATCCCAAATTGTTGCAACACAGCCTACCTATGGCTCGAAATCTGACGAGGGCCAAGCTGAAGCTACCTCCGCCACGGCACAGGATCTATGAGGCAAGTCGCCGCTGAGACACCGACAGAGACTGTCCGACGGTGCGCTGCACACAGCAATGATCTACTTGTGCTCCCGTGCCCTGTCTAAAAGACCGCAGGGGCACATGAGGGGTCACCAAAAGAAAAGAGGGAGGAAAAAGCAAAGATGTTACTGCGTGCGACTTGTCATCCTGCCCTTGCGCTGTTGTGCCAATGCCCAACTAAGTAACTCGTGGCGCGGCCGCTAGCACTTCCGTGTTGACTGCACGAGCTGACACTGGCAGCTTACGGCATCCGGCGTCCAATGATCTTGTTGAGCCGCCCCATCTTCCCAGACCGAGATGCATGTTGCATGCATCTTGGCCTGTCCGTGCTACCTGGCAACCTGGGTACTGGTATTGATAGGCATGTATCCGTAACCAGCTGGCATATATGTATGATGTCTTTTCAGCCACCGCGGTTCAAGGTCATCGCCTGTTACGAGGTATCTCATCGGCGATTGGCGTATGTACACATTTGTGATTTGTGCTATGGGTACGTTTTCAGCCGCCACTCCCCAGTTCTTCCTTTTTACTGACCTCGATTCTCTCAGTAAGGCATCAAGGTCGCACACAGCCTACGTAGACGCTCGTGGCTATCTATGTAAAGGTAATTGGCGTAGCATAGTGTCGGAAACACAGCGGTTCGAAGCGTTACGCATGGTGTTACCACTTCGTCCAATCGCCAGCGACTTGGATGGCGAGGGAAGTCTTTGGTTGGTGCTACGCCGCGATTATCTGAGCTCCTCTCCTGCATTTGATTCAGTGCTCTTTGAAGCTAATGTCCGAGGTAGAGAATCAGCGAGCTCTATACTACTCTCGGCTCCGCTCTATTTGGTAGCTGGGCTTCATATTACTGCGCTCATCGAGTGTGGCGGCACAGGCATTTGTTCTCGTATGCAGTATCTACGTCCTGAGAGCACACCGGTCTCTTCCTATACCGACCACAGAGTGCGTTGTAAGACAGCCGGGGGATGTTCAGGACGACCAGGATATACCCAGTGCGCCTGCTCGCTTTTGCCTCTAGCCTCAGGAACTAGAGCCCGGTAGCCCGGGGCATGATAGGCTCGCTTTGTGAGAAAAATGCCTCTTTGCAGGCCCCATATTCCGAAGTGGATGTGCAGTTGGTCAGGTTCAGCCCGCCTGGCCCTGGCTCTGTGGCTTGCGCTGCAGCCCACCTGAGCTCCCTTACTTGTACGTGACCTTGTACAAGGCCAAGTCGGCTGAGCTCCTGGTATTTGGCATGCACTGCTCATTTATCAGATCCTAGGTACTGCATAGTACTATTCAGTCCGAAGTGGGCAGCTGAGGAGTAAGTGGCCAATGAACAGTCATTGAGTGGTTATTACAGCCAACAAAGAACATTCTCCCTGCAGGTGGCTATAGCCATGGGGGAGTATTCCGCCATTACCCAGAGATTGCAAAGGATTCATTCAATAAAACACAGCTCATATTGCCAAATTTTGATTTGACTGTTTCATATACACGAACGTGGTAAAAAGCTCGAGTGGAAACGGGTTGGGCGTCCATGGCTTGCCGGGAACGTCGCCGCCGAGCCGTCTCCATACCCATACACTATACCGGCGATGTTGGGTCGTCACGGGTAGCGATATGCGGGTTGGACGCTCAATCATATGCATATTATGGCTGATCAAGCTAGCTATTCATCCAACGAGAAAGATGGAGAAGGCTGACGGAGCAGCGTGGGAAAAACTGGTTTTCTTGGGGTAGCTAGAACTACAGGTAAAACTGGCGTCTTATTCATCTTTCTTTTCTCATTGCATCTTCAAGCTCTTTTAGACTTATCAACTCCGATGCTTGCCTTAATATAGTCTTTCGTGGACTGGAAAGAGGGGCTTGAGGCCCTTTGCCTCCATCTGTGACTTTTATATGGTACCTAGTAGATGAAGTAGATATAGTAGATTACTGCCAGATACCAGCAGACGGCACTATTGCTCACCTTCTTTCACTTATTGCAATCAACGACTCCTCTGGTGCTGACACTTTCGTATTCTATATTGCTAGCCTACGCTCCTATAGGGCTCCAAAAACAGCTGGAGATTCCATGGCCTCCAAAAACTTGACCCATTACAAGAGAACCAGATTTATGCCTCGCATCATCTTAGACAAACGAATGGCCTCAAGAGATTGCTTTTCTGCCATTGAGTTCATAGCAAGTAGCAGCTTCGCTTCGGACAATGATATGCTCTTGGTCGACAGTAACGAGTTGTACATCCCAAGGATCATTATTGTACAGTGGCCTACTAACTGTTCTACTCCTTTGCACTTAATGCTTCAGGAATGGCGATCTTATGTTTTCTAGGATACTGACAATCCAATCAAGCTGAGTATCGTGGAGATGTTCAAGAAGATTCGACAGCTGCCAGCCAGGTGATAGATATCTACAAATTAGATATACTCAGGCAACTATATTGTCATTCTGCCGTTGAAATAATTACACCGCTCTGAGCAACATGTTAACTCGCTTCTTCCTCTCGTTCTCTTTCTCTTTCTTCTTCTTCTCTTCTTAACATTCTCCTCTCTTTTTCCTCAGAGAACAAAGCTCACCCTCCATCTTCCAATCTCACTTCAAGATAGGGGAACGAAAGATGGCTGAACTAAAGAATGGCAAACGTTCCTTGGAGGCCGATGCTGCAGACAAAGAAGACTTCGAAGGTGGCCACATTCCGAAGAAGTCACTCTTGGACGCCGACCGGACCGTGGCTATGCTTGAAACGAGCGATGCACACAAATCGTCTGCGAAGATAGCCATACAAAGCGTGAGGATTGAGGTAGACCCCGTACCAACCAAACCGATGACGTCGTTACTCACCAAGAAAGGGCAGGAGATGTACCAACTAAAGGATTTAAAAAGCGAATTGGAGGCCATGAAAAGCAAACTGAACATTATGAGGAGCAAATTTGTCAGCGTGGAAATCAGAATGGATATCCTGGGAAGCAAAGTAAACATTATGAAAAGCAAAGTGGATGAGGCGGTTAACACCAAGAACGACAAGTCTGCAGAGGACATCCTAGATTTGAGGATTGGCATCCAAGATCTGGAGAAGGAAGTGGATCAGATACAAGCGGAATATACGCAAACGAAGTTGGACAATGAACGGACCATCGCTGATCTGAATAAGCTTTTGGAAAGGGTTGTTACCGTGCTGCGAGATGTAATAAGCCTGTTCTGAGAAGGCAGAGGAACGACGGAAAACCCCGGAGGATGGTGAAATTAATGAATAGCCTCGAGGACCTCCTCGGGAGGAAGACACAGCCGAGGAGGAAGAATTTGAGGCGTTTTATGATAGATGGGTAATGAGGACATCAATCTTCTTTGATATCAGGCGTCATTAGACGCCAAAGGGGAAGACAGACTCTATAAGTCGGTAAAATGGGAGCAATGGGAACACATTCTTCAGGTCTAATCTAAATCTGCATCGTCTCACACTATTGTTGCCATCGTCATAGCCTTGCAGTATCGCCATCAACTTCGCCAAAGAATCCCAGGAAGGCAGAATGTACTTCATCCGTTAGATCACTTGCTTGCAGGCTCCGTCCCTTTTTGCCAAAGGCCAACCGTGAACACTCCTATTTCTCATGTTAGTGCATAATCAGTTGTTAAGAAAGGGGGGCTACATTTCCCCCAACCTTTGAAAGACTTACCCTTGTTATGGCGCTCCCAGCGAATGCCGCCAAGCCCATCGTCTCATCCTCTTCCAGAGCTGGTTTCTCAGGATCCTTCCATAAACCGTCATGATACGCCTTGCGCCATCCCAGAAACGTGGCAATAGCTCCGGTCAGAGTGTCGCCCTGTCCGGCGCTTCGCTTCTTCCCTCCTTCGAGGTCGCTCACTAGAGTCACATTACCGTTGGATATAAAATCCTTGGCGCCCTTTTGGATAATCGTCACGCCGCCCAGTTCTTGGGCCAGCTTTTCAACTTTGCCCGTCTCGCTCGTCTGGTCGCCGACGTCGATTTTGAGTGCGTCGCACAGTCGCTTGAACTCGACGACGTTGGGTGTCAAAACTGCATACTTGTAGCCCCTGATCACGTCTGGGTCCTTCTGCACGAGCTGCAGGGCATCGGCGTCCATGACCACCGGCATCTTAGCCTCTCTAGCGGCCTTGATGACCCGAGCCACTGTTGCTTGCATGATGGGATCACGGCCCAGTCCGGGACCAACGACTAAGACATGCAGACGGCCCAGCATCTCGTTGATCTTCTGCGCTACTTGGTCGGGATCGGGGTCTGTCTCATCCTTGCCTGACGACTGGCGCATGAGTGGGTGCACCATAAGATTGGGGGAGTATGTCTTGATGACCGCCGCAGCTGCAGGGGTGCATATAACGTGTGACTATTATGAGATTCCAAGTCAGCGGTGTGATTCCATTGGATTGGGATTTCTAGGATATTTTCCCGCTCTTTTGCCATGTCGCAATCCTGAGAGTCAAAAGGCAAGGTATCATTATGTCTTACCATGTCACATCCTAATCGTGCACTCGCCATGGCCGAAAAGTACGGCGCCCCGGTGTAGTCTTCGCTGCCTCCAATGACAGCAACTCTACCCAGCTGGCCTACGGTATCTCTTGTTAGCTTCTCGGTTGTTTCTTGTCACGTCTTCTATGAGATCAATCTCTCTTGAGGTGCCGTCTATGATCATCAGAATTGCGTACCTTTATGAAACGTATCGAGCAAAGGCGGGACTATCCGCCTCACCTTGCCCAACACGCTTGTCGTTGAGGCTGACATGTTTGGAACTTCCGTACCAGCAGACATTGCTAGCTGACTTAAAGTAAAGGCCTAATCTGAGATCTGTGAGAACCAAGTCGTAAATCAGCTTTTTATCTGCTCTCTACAGTTGACGTCATATCACCAAGAAAGATGGGTTTATTGCAGGGTACACAAGTGGAAGTTTCGTACCTTGGCCACGAGATGAATCAATGTGACATCAACAGTAGCGCGATTATTTTTTTAAAAAATGAGTAAGCCGCTAGCCAACAAGAGCAGCTAAATAAAGAGTCAGAATTATTGTAACAAACAATAGGTAGTCAGATATTGTAATTTATAATGACGCTGTATCGTATACTGTACACAGCGAGCTTAATGTTGCTGCTAGCTCGGAGCTCAACATGCGATGCGATTGCCAAGTCACATGATCTCTACGGACGACCTCAAAGCCGCTGCCCCAAAAGATATCCGCATCACTTATCACGATATAAAAATGCGTACGCAAGTATAATCATACTGATTTCATAAACTAGCCCTATCATGTTGTACGTATATAGATTTGACGTATGGGGGTAGATGTTGGTTCACCGAGTAAGGAAACAACTACTTCAATCTATTAGACTTCCAGCATGATTCCAGTATAGATAGATATTGGACGTGTGTTCTTTAGCCTGGTCATCGAACCACAATTTTTACTAGAAATCGTGTGATTTTAATTTCCGTTTTCTCTATTTTTTTAGCTACTTCATTTAGGTGATTTCTCTCTCAGCTACAGTCAGCTCTTTGGCCCGTTCTCTCATCTGTTTTCTCAGGTCTTCCAGGTCCTCATTTTCTTTGGCGATCTGAGCCTTTTGCTCTGCCATCAGTTTCGGCTGCATTGCATCAGTATGTTTCCGGCGTGGTATATGTGTATCTTGAAAATGGTGAGACTTGTTATCAATTTGGACTATATATACATCCTTATGGTCAGACTCTTTAAACTCCTCCGTGACTTGATACTCTCGGGCGTCAAAGTCGACTACGAGCCGGGCTGCCTGTTCATCATCGATGTCAACGCAAACATCGTTGAAAGTTGCCAAATCGGCGCCTTTGAGTTTGGACCATCTGCGGTAATGTCGACGGTCGAATCGGCGTGGCTGTCCGGTATAATTTTGTCCGTTCCTCCAAAATTTCTCTGCGCACATGCTCGTAATGTCTTTCCGGCTGTCATTTGCTGCCTGACAGATGAATTTATATTCAAGTCCATAATGGTATATGGCCAGACCAATCAAGTCAAGCTGTCGCAGGCTAATCCTTTGAGTTGTGACATTACTGTTGGTACATAGGTACATAATAGCAAGTGGTAGCAGTAGTAGCAGTAGTAGCAGTAGCATACCTAAGCAATAGAAAATTAGGATCCGCTTAAATAGGCTATAAACATTAAATATGAAGAAAAATAATGTTTCATACTGTATAAGACCTATATGAAATAATATTATTATCTACCTATAAACATTCGTTTATTATACCTAGGTAGTTCTAGCTAGATAATACACTGGTGGTAAACCGATGCCGGCCTAAGCTTTCAAGCTACACTATCAATATAATTCGCTTTCCGCTTGTTTTGTGACCATATCTCGACCTTGAGTATAACAATATATGCTAAGACAAACACGCTTTCATCTTTTACTACCACAGTCACCGCAGTCATTATTGTTTCCCTCTAAAATTAACAGAACAAAAGGAATCAAGGACATTCATTGAGTAATGTGCTTATATTTTACAAGTAGTAGTATGACTGGCGCGTCTCCCTTTATAAGCCATGGCTCTCTCATTTGGCGCAGCCATTAACTTTTCAGCCCCTCTTTCCTCCATTCTAGAGAACGACCAATATATTGGTATAGACAGTAGCACCCCCCAACAATGACCCTTTTCTATTTCGCTTGACGCGCTTCACTTATTATTTGTTTAGCCGAGGAAGCTCTTGACGAAGGAGGTAATGCTGTCCTTGAGTCTGTTCTCGAGCTCCTTGCTCAAGGCACCCTCCTTGTCGATGGTGGCGAGCAGGTCAGACTCGTTGGTCTTGAGGTGGGCCAGGAAGTCAGACTCCCACTTGAGGATCTGGTCGACGGGGATAGAGTCGAGGTGACCGTTGATACCAGCGTAGATGAGGGGAACCATCTCGTTAACGGCCATGGGGGAGTACTGCTTCTGCTTCAGGAGCTCGGTCAACTGTAATCACAGCGGGTCAGCCATCTTCCAAAAATTTTTACCACGCATATACGGGGAATAACTTACACGCTCACCACGGGACAGGGTCTGCTTGGTAGCAGCATCAAGATCGGAACCGAACTGGGCGAAAGCAGCAACCTCACGGTACTGGGCCAAGAAAAGCTTCAGGGAACCAGCGACCTGCTTCATGGCCTTGAGCTGGGCAGCGGAACCAACACGAGAGACGGAAAGACCGACGTTGATGGCAGGTCGGATACCCTTGTAGAACAGCTCGGACTCCAAGAAGATCTGGCCGTCGGTGATGGAAATGACGTTGGTGGGAATATAGGCAGACACGTCACCACCCTGGGTCTCAATGACGGGCAGGGCAGTCATGGAACCGCCACCGTGCTTGTCGTTGAGCTTGGCGGCACGCTCCAGCAGACGGGAGTGCAGGTAGAAAACGTCACCGGGGTAAGCCTCACGTCCGGGGGGACGACGGAGCAGCAGGGACATCTGACGGTAGGCAACGGCCTGCTTGGAGAGATCGTCGTAGATGACCAGGGAGTGCTTTCCATTGTCCCTGAACCACTCGCTATTCGGAAAATTTCATTAGCATCTCAAAAGATATACCAAGGTGAAAGGTGAAGGACGAAGACTCACCCGATGGAAGCACCAGTGAAAGGAGCAATGTACTGCAGAGGAGCGGCCTCAGAAGCAGTGGCGGCGACAACGATGGAGTACTTCATGGCGTCGTTCTCCTCGAGAGTCTTGACGAACTGAGCGACGGTGGATCGCTTCTGGCCGACGGCGACGTAGATGCAGTAAAGCTTCTTGGTCTCGTCGTTGGAGGAGTTCCATCGCTTCTGGTTAAGGATGGTGTCGAGAGCGACGGCAGTCTTACCAGTCTGACGGTCACCAATGATCAACTCACGCTGACCACGGCCGATGGGAACCATGGCGTCGACGGACTTGAGACCAGTCTGCACGGGCTGGTTGACAGACTTGCGAGGCAGGATACCGGGAGCCTTGAGCTGAGCACGGCGCTTCTCCTTGGAGTTAAGAGGACCCTTGCCGTCAATGGGGTTACCCAGAGCATCGACGACACGGCCGAGCAGCTCAGGGCCGACGGGAACGTCAACCTTTGCGGGGAGTTAGTTATCCTGATGATGTAGGCAGTCGCTAATAGTGTAGCTTTATATAACTCACGATTTCACCAGTTCGCTTAACAGTCTCGCCCTCCTTGACCAGACGATCAGAACCGAACAGCACGACACCGACCTGGCCGGCCTCGAGGTTCATGCACATGCCCTTGACACCGGAAGCAAACCTAGGCTGCGTTAGATGCAAGTTGTCCTAAACGGGGAAGAGACATCTCTACGTACTCGACAAGCTCCTCGGCCTGGACATTGGCCATACCGTGGACACGAGCGATACCATCACTATGCGCTCCAGTTAGTAAAATGAAGAAAAAGCATAGACTCCCATCAGCTCTGTTTCTCTCTTTGTGTTTCTCCCGTCGCATGCATCTCAAAGATGTTGTAGTGTTGTATTCCGAGTTGCTGCTTCGAAGTCCCAGAGAGTAGCTTAACAGGTGGCCTCCACATACCCAACAGACAGGACACGACCGGTCTCAGCGAGACCAGCCTCCTCCTGGACACCGCGGATTCGCTGCTCGAGGATGGAAGAGACCTCAGTGGGAGAGGCCTTGGCGTCGGAAGCGTAGGTTCGGACGGCGTTGATGGCAGCCGGTGCGGCATTTCGAGTCTACATTGGGCAAGAGAAAAAAAAACATGTTAGCCGAATTCGACCAATGGAAAAAGACCCATGGAGAACCCCGGCAGGCTCAAAAAAGCTCAAAAAGGCTTGCTCTGCGATGCTGGCAAGTCGATTGCATGTCCAATTGAGCTTGCGAGTCCAGAATTCGCAGGTGTGCAGGTCGATGCTCGGGGCCTCCAAAATTTTCTCTTGCCCCCCCAAAAAACGGTGGTTTCCGGGCGTGCGGGAAAGACACTCACCACAGAGACTCGGCCAGCGGCGACGGCGCCAACAGCGCGAGAGGACTGGCGAAGGGCGTTTCGGAACATCTTGAGGGCGGTATCTGGGGAGCCTCAGAAGAGAGGGAAAGCAATTGCAGCGGCGTGCAATTGGCGGGGAGGGGGGATTGGAGGGTTTTGTTGATGCTGCCTTTTGCTGGAAGAGCAAAATGGAGATTTTCGGGAGGAGATGGAGAGAAGCAGAGTCTGTGAGGACCAAGGTGGGGGCTCGGGCTGGCAGGTGCGCCAATCAGCGCCGGGTGCGCGGTTTTGCTGGCGTGCGAAGCCGACGCCGCCTTAACAATTTTCCACGGGGCCCGTTATTAATTAGGATTGCAGGCAGGTTTTGGGCTATAATACTAGACTAGCACGCTGGTAGTTGAGAGGACTCGGGACTAACTGGATGGAGAGGATTTTTTTCTTGCTCTCCGGTATGTGTCTGCCTATGCCTGATCGATGAGGCAGTCTTTTGTCTCTTCGTGGAGAAGCTGACCAGGGTGTTGTTCTAGAAAACTAGATCCAAATATGATATCAACGACTTTGTAGCTTCTAAAACTTTGCTGTCCTGTGTAAAGCTGCTCTCTTCTATCTGAAGACTAACAATTGACACATATGAGTGAAAAAGTTAGCCCACGACTTCATAGTCATCATACAGCTATGTGAAGGATGTCTGGAGACTGACATTTAACGGAGTCTTCAATTGCGACTAAAAGACAGCAATGAAATCGATTGAATGATGTAGAAAACCTCAATGGTGCGAGAGTAAAACTTCTGGCATTGACTCTCTGAGGGATAGTTGTGTTGCTTCTCCACCAAACAGCCAAGAGAATTTTGGGCATGCCCAAGTTGAGCCGTACAACTCTTCTGTTTGTGCTGGATTCAGCAGCCAATCTACGACTACATGGGAATAATGAGGAAGATGTGGTTTGTCGTTGAATCGCATGGCATTCAACAGCTTGTATATGTATACAGCTACCGCTGGAAGAGAGACATATCTACAGGTCAAATCGGGACATTCAATACAAACGTCATCATTCATACGAGCAAGCAAAGAGGTCAAGCTTCGCCAATGTAAAAATGGTGCCATCACATTGCAGGGGCAATATTCGTGAAGCCGGCAGTACGCCGGTCGGTCTCTAAGGCCGTTGCTCGACTCAAAAGTCTTTTTGGTACGAGCTGATGTAAAAATCAAGCGGAAGAATACATGACCATATATGATCCCTTTTTACCCCCAAATGTTCGCCGTGCCCATTTCCATTAAAGACAGAGAAAAAAAAGTTTGATTGTTTGGATGATTTTATCCGTTTATCGGACAATGCCATCGAAGCGGCCCTTGAACCACTTGACGGTCTCCTCGCGCTTGATGCGGTGAGAAGCACCAATCTTGCTCTTCATGCGGCGGCGGCGGGTGACACGCTCACCAGGGCGGGTCATGCAGCAGTAGAAGTCCATGCCGTAGATACCGATGGAGGGGTCGTACTTGATACCAAGATCGATGTGCTCGCTGATACCGAAGCCGAAGTTGCCGGTCTCGGAGAAGTTGCGCTTGCGCAGCTCGTACTCCTTGACCTTGAGGCCACGCTCAAGAATCTCCTCAGCCTATCCATATTGGTCAGTCAAACTGGCTCTAAATTTTTGGTTTATTTTTTGCAGAATTGGAATTTACCTTGGGGCCACGGACGGTAACGTGGACAGAGATCTTCTCGTTACGACGGATACCGAAGGTTCGGACGGTGTAACGGGCCTTGCCTGTAGTGAAAATTCATTAATATTCCTGCTTTCCGTGTTGACGTTGGGTTTGAGTGTTTGCGACATACTGTAGACGGGGGTTTGACCGGACAGCTGCTCAAGCACCTTGGCGGCACGAGTGAGTCTGTCACCAGATTCACCGACGGAGATGTTCAGAACGAGCTTCTGAATCTTGAGCTCCCGCATGGGGTTGCTGGACTTTTCGGCGGCCATTGCTGCGGTTGTTGATCGACGATGTCTTGCTGTCGGAGATGGGCGAAAAGTTGAGGTTGGGCTAAGGCGAACGATTTTGTGAAGGCGGGAAAATTTCGAGGGTTTGTCTGCCCTCAAGCGAGAGCACAGAAAAGCGGGGTTGAATTTCCTAGAATGGCTAGCGCATATGCTTTGCATCGCCGCTAAGAAGCTCACTTTAACAGCGCGGTTCAAGCTTTAATTTGTCTGCACTAGCAGAAATTACGGAAGAGCTACTGATGTTCATGCGTTTCTCCTGCATGATTCTTGAGTGCCTACCAAGTACTTAACATTAGCAGCACCTCTTCGCCACTCCAGCCTCGCGATTGACGCAGCAGTATTCATAGCTAGGCAAAACCATTGGTATCACATCGACTGCCAATATGATAGTGACAACGGTAAAAGCAGTCATTGAACGCAAAATATGCTGATTTCACTGTTGAAAATGATATTTGGTATCTTTTACTACCTAATACTACCTACATAGCTATATACTAGTGACTGAAGGGTATGATTCGTTTCCATTGCCTCGTATCTTATTCTTCGTAAAACAAAAATCCACACGCAATTTGGCGACCAGAAAGGACCGTCATTCATATCACATAAACTCCCAAGCTTCATTATGTGCTTCTCTTTCCTCCCAATTGGCGCTTCACCAGCGTACTTTATGGGCTGGTAACATGGCTGAATACCTTTGCAGCCAGTTGGCTCAACAATCTTGCCCTGTCAGCCTGAGGAAGTTCCTATATGTACATTAGCGCTCACGGAAACCTGAAATAATCTAGTCAGTCTCAGAAGTATCTGAGAAAGCAGTAGCACACCGCAGAGAGGCGGGTGTACGACCACAAAATGAGAAGAGAGAGAAAACAATCTGGCCTTACCCGAAAGACTTCGTATACGCTCTTCCCTTTGGTGTCTCTGATTGCCCCAAGTCTGTTCCCGGCCACTGCTCCGGCAAGCAGTCCAGGGACGTTGCCCACAATGAATCCCAGAGCGCCGCCACTTACAGCGCCTACCATGCCCCACATGGTTGAAGGGTTACCGCCTTGCTGGTTGGGCGTATCCCCCTCTGAGAACCCCTCATCCTGCATCATTTCCTCAAAGGCGTCGCTGAATTGTGCATCCTCTGTAGCTTGGCGGCCATTGGGCGCAGTTCCTCCGTTCTGGTTCTCGAAGAAGTCCCATGCCCACGAATAACCTTGTCCCGTAGCGTCGTCTGCTTCTGTAAAGGGATCGGACGCTGACGGGTGGTAGTATCCTCGCTGTAAATCATACTCGCGTCTCCTTGAAGGCTCGGAAAGACAATAGTAAGCCTCATTCACGAGTTGAAAGCGTCGTGTTCTCTGTTCGCGCTCTGGTGAGTCGTTGGCGACTCGATCGGGATGTGTTTTCAGGGCAGCTCTACAAAATGGCTGTCAGTGACCGACTCAACTGGGCAATTGAGAAGGGCCGCATACCGCTTATAGGCATCTCGAATCTGTGCTGCCGAGGCCTTCTCTGAAACCTCCAGAATGGCATCTGTCCAACGCGGATTGGCTCAGTAAATCGTGTCCACACCCAAGGCGGAGTGATGTCTCGTCTCAGAACAATCGCGGGGAGAGCTTGTGCATTGTAGTGTCGACTTACAGTAATCAGGCGGTGCTCCGTTTCTCGTCATTTTGTCGATTGATGTTTTTGATCTGAAGAAGGGAGAACTAGGTAAATTTCAGGGTCTTTTCAAGGGTATTTAAGATGGTCGTCTCCCTAAAAAAAGAACTACGGGGAACTGAATAGGTGCCTGATGCAGGTTCGACGCTGTAGCCATGCAGGCCCAGCGACGGTTTATCCAGTCAACGTCATGTGGCGAGACGTCTATGTGGCTGGAACCCGTTTGCGCACCCCAGGCCAACTCCACAAAAACCTGTTCGCAGGTCAGCAGGTACTAGCTTAGCTTGGCTACGTGTATCCTACAAGGCTAGCTGTTATGGTATACAAAGCGGAGAAGACGGTGACTGCCAAAGTGTGCAATGCATTCACGCGACATTTTGAGCAACTCGATGTTTGTATGATAGTATGTATGTACCGAGAGCACCTATATGCAAATACAGATACAGATATATAGCCCTTGTAAAACAAAGGTGCTGCCAAAGGCACCCAGCCAATACTCCAACTTCGCTTCTACCCAAACATAAACTGCCCTTCAAAGGGGTGACTCTATGGGAGCCATTCTTGTAGTAATGGCGCGTTTTCATAAAAAAAAAAAGGAAGAGTACAGAAAAGAAAAAGGAAAAGCTCACCGCTTGATGCTTCCCGAAACTGCGATACTCTCGCTATCTTGTCTCTTAACACCAGCTGACCTTGACCTTGCGATCCGTGTTCTTATCATAAACAGTCTCAGCCTGGAATATCGTGTAAATACTGTTGCGCCCTGGTGATGGCATCTTGTGCGACTCGCAGAGCATCGTCTATCTTGCCGACTTTGTTGTAGTAAGCCGCGAGCACCCACATGTCCCGGATAACCCGCAAATTGGTGGTCGTTCCATGCGCAGCTTCTCTCATGTGAATGGCATATTTCAAGTTCTGTTCGACCTGGTCCCAGGCCTCTCTGCTTTCGCAGAGTCTAGCCAGCATCTTGCGGGCATACGCATGAAATCTGGCGTTCGAAAGTGCCCCTGTTTCATACTGCGTTATGTCGAGCAGATCCAGCGCCATCTGCTCTGCCTTCTCCTTGTCATCTAGATCCATCTGAGTGAATTCTAGCATGAGTGCATCAACTCTTAATTTTTCCACGTTATCATCACTTGGTATAGGCTCCTCATGGTGTCCCAAGTTCTCAAGGGCCTCATACATAACCTCACGTCTGTTGGCCAGCCCATTATTCCGACGAAGCTTTGTCCGGCCATCCCAAATCAACTGCTCATACAGCCAAAACTCTTGAGGCGCTGACGATTTAATGTACTCTGCCAGGAGATCGACATTTCGTAGCCAAGCTTGCCGTAACAGGTAGCAGATGAACTGGCGGCCGTCTTCAGTTTGATAGTCGCAAGCTAGGAGTTGTTGAAGGATGCGGATAAGGGGATGATTTGCGGGAAAGCGCTGCTTTGACAGCACAAGCGCGTGTCTGATGAACATTCCAAGAAGCTGTAAATGTCCTCGGTCGATCATGTCGTATATTGTGTCAAGAATATGCCAAAGAAGGTCGGGATGGTCCTCGGTCAGAACAAATTCCAAGACATAGAAGCCCTTCCTAGCCGCCATGCCCGCTAGATCGCCCTTGCCGTAAGACCACAAGTCAAAGACCAGTTCAAACGTCCGGTACATAGTGCGACTATCTTGTATAGGTGGCTGGTTGGGGGTGGCAAGATACTGCGACATGGGATCGGACGCTATGCGATAAGTCTCCAGTTTCCCTGAGCTCCAAGATAGAACGCCGTTTAGGATAAGCTCCAGGTCTGCGAGTGGTTTGAACGAAGGATTCGGGACCAAGTCCAGGCCTGTAACCATAGGACTCGTTGTCCTTGGTATCTCCTCGACATCGTCATCATGCTTCAAATCGGTAGAAGAGTTTGTAGATGAGGGAGAAGGGAGAGTGGCTTCCCCGGGCGATTTGCGATATGCTCTTTTCCTGATATTCCACTTCTTGAATCTCTTCTTGTACATTTGCTCGCTTTTTGGGCATTTAGTTAGCAGTGAGTTTAGTTTGTCGCCTAGTATATCTAATCTCATCTTTTTTTTCTCTGAAAGTACACAGCAAACAAACGGCAAAGAGTGACCACTCACGTTGCGGCAAATCCATATTTAGACTCCATTAAGGCCATGATCTCATTCAATTTGCGGTTGTCTCCTATGTATAGCTTCTCAATAAGGTCCTTCTGCGCTAACCACTCCTGTTCCGTATGTTCCTTGACGCTGGGCCGCTCAACCACCGGCGGCGAGTTGCCTGGCAGCCGCGGAGCCAGCGCCGGCAGACGAGGCCGGACGGGATGCATGGCTGGACGGATATTGGATATTGGCCACGGGTGAGTTGTGCTACGGGTAATGCTATTGCTATACTGCCCAAAGCGAATAGCAACTCTTGAACAGACAAGACATGGCCAGTCGTATGGCCATGATGGGCCCTGAATGGAAAACAAAGTTGGAGAAGTGAGCGAAGCTAAAACGAAAGTCTGTGGCCAAGAAGTCCGTCGGCTGGAGGCAACGATGTACCTCGACTAGCACAGTGCTCCGTACAGGTACCTCGGGAGTAGTTCGGGTCTAATCCGGCAGTCAGAGCGCACGTGTCTTATTGGCAGTGAAAGTTCCCTGCATGTTATTTAAGCTTTTTGCAGCATCAAGATTGGTTCAAAGTCACGTGCAGAATCTTTAACTTGTACAAGTACAGAGACCACTGGCGTAGAGTACGAAACTCTGAGGAAAGATTGCTCCTGTTCCTGAACCTGAGCCTGTGTCTATTTTTGTTCCTGAGAGCAATCTATTTGTGGCGCTAATACTAGTACAAGTAAGTGCATGAAGGGGAGGTTTGTGAGAGGTATTAGGAGGACTTTGCTACACTTGCCGGCTCACTCCGGAGTTTCAGTCAGCTTTACATCTGTAAAAGAAAGACTGTAAAAACATTCTAAACTACCCGGCAGAGCCGCTCGCCGATTATGAGTACGTGCCTTCTAGGTATTTCACTCGTATTAGAAGCTCTTACCTCGGAAATAGTAGTGTGTCTATTTCATATGCTTATTTCGATTGAAATTAAGCTCCATACCTTAGCGATCCGTGTCTAAGCTTTAGGGTACAGGGCGTATTTGGAGTTGTATGAATGCAACTTTCAATCATAAGAACTTGCCTGCTTGCGAATCTACACCATAGATTACCATGGTTCATTGCTAGTTCCAAAATGAGTCAATCAATTTCAACTCTGGTACAGGTTTAATGACTCATAAATACTCTAGTAATAAACATTCATATTAAACGTCCATTGTCTTTTATGCATAGATGATTGTATGTACGGATAGAAGCAAGACAGATTGCACAAGTCTCTCTCGACTTCAGAGTGTCACATTCGTAAGTGATGCCAGATAGCTATGACCGGAAGGCTTAAAACACTTAGATCCCTCCTTCTTGGACCTGTCGCTCTGTCTCTTATCTGAGAAAAGTGATTACGCATAACTGGTAGCTGCACGTATAATACTGTCATCTATTCCTCTCAAAGGAAAAAAAAACGATGAAAAAGAATATTCAGTATTAATCACAGCTGACATCTCATCTAGCCTCCTAGACTACCTCAAGCTAAGCTCGGTTCTAGGTCAGCTTGAATGTAAGATCTACTTCACTAAATAACCGATAGCCATCTCACTTGCATCAACTTTATTTTCAAAACCTTTCAACTTAAACCTCAACTCCTCTCCCCGCTCTCCGTTATGTCAAAATATTTGCGACAATATTGGCCTGGCGAGCCTACGAAAACTGAGAAGGATTTGCCTGATTTGCAGGGACGAGTATGATGACTCTCTCTCACCCTCCTTGATTCGTCTCCCTGCATTACAGCTGATCTCATCTTTTGAATACTTAGGTATTTATCGTCACGGGCGGCGCTGGAGGCATCGGTTTGGCTGTAGCAACAGCTCTTTTCCACGCCAATGCGACGCGCGTCTATATCCTTGGCCGATCTGAAGCTGCTGGCAAGACGGCTATCAACACCATCGAGAAGTCCGATCCGCCTGGCGATATGAAGCGGCGCAGCGCCGGCGGTGACAATGACGTACTCCGATTTCTGGATCTCGACCTCTCCGACCTGCAAGGTATCAAGCAAACAGCCGAGGCGTTCTTGGAGTTAGAAAGTCGTCTGGATGTCGTCTGGCATAATGCTGGCGTCATGGCTCCTCCCGAAGGCAGCATCAGCAAGCAAGGACACGAGCTGAGCTTCGCCACCAACGTGTTGGGCCCTTTCTTGCTCCAGCATTTCCTAACGCCAATTCTCCTCAAGACCGCGGAAAGAGATGCCTCTCCTAAGGGACCTGTCCGCACGTGTTGGGCAGCTTCTGTGGAATTTCCCGACCCTCCAGGAGAGGATGGTGTCCTCTGGGATGACTGGGGATTGACTGCAACTAAATTCTCTGGTCTCGGAGGGCGTACGCTGCGATATGTACAGAGCAAATGGGCAAACACGATTCTCGCAGCCGAGATGGCCAAAAGACACCCTTCAATCGTGAGCGTGTCCTTCAATCCCGGAGCGCTCAAGACGGACCTCACTCGCCACGCTCCCAGCATCTTGAAGAGCATACAGGGCATGCTATCGTATCCAGCTCGATTTGGAGCCTTGACCGAGCTGCAAGCAGGATTTGATGCCGAAGTAGTTGAGCATAATGGTTGCTATCTCATCCCGTGGGGGAAGATTGGTACCCCACTCCCAAAGGTCGCCGAGGGCATTGAGAAGAGGGGGAGCGGAGAAAGGCTGTGGAATCTTTGTGATGGTCTGGTGAAAGATTTCTACTGAGCGTTTGTGTATTTGAACCGACTTTGAAAGAGAAAAGCTATTCGGCACCCCAATTCTGTCATCTAGCATTTCAACTAGGCTACTGATGCCACTGATGCCACTGATGCCACTGATGCCACTGATGCTACTGATGCTACTGATGCTACAAGTAATCATATTCTACTTCTACTTGGACACAATTATAATTCTACAGCACTCAGCGGTTAATATCAGATGTCGCTCATTAAATTACATGGACGCTGAGTTTGCGACTGCAAGAATAGCATCTTGAAACTGACCCGCCACCGCCAGACAGAAGTTCTCACGCATTTCAATATATGCAGAAATACGTCACAATCATTGCATTTGTTTGGATGACGGCCGTCTGCGTTGGCACTGCGGGAGGCCTACGGGTGCCTACGAGGCTGCAGGTGCATGTACAGCTTGTACAGCTGCTGGCCTACAGCTGCTGGCCCAGTGACTCGCCCAGAAAACACGCCTGATAAATCTTTCTCTTCAGAATCCTCTCTTATCTTCCTCTTCTCTTCTTTTCATCATCAGCACAGGCTTCTGTGAGATATTTTCTCACACTTTAGCATCGCCTGCTCGCACTGGTCAGCCCCTATCTACTTCAAATCTCTTAACAATTTTTGTTGAAATTTCTCATCTCCAGTCCCTCTGACCTTGAAAGCGAAGAAAAATGAAGAGAAATAGGTAGGAAAATCCAGGCCAGATGTACAGTTTCTTGCTCATGCGATTAGGTACAATGATCCCACTCATCCTACCACGCCGTCCTACAGCTCTGTCAAACCATGCTTCTTTTTCTTTCGAGATAATAGTTGCAAATTTGGGGCGCGATGCAAGTTCTCACATGACGCTGGAAGCGCACTCGGTAGCCATTCTGCGGACAATGGGCAAGCCAATACTTCGATGAAGCCTTTTGGAAACAGACGAAACTACGCCCCAGAGGGAAAACTAGTCAAATGGAAGCAGTTGCTGCAAAACGGCGGAGATGCCTTTGCCCGACCATCTCTTAAGATAGTCGGTCAATTCTTCAGCCTTGCCCTCGAGCTCATGGATGGAGACGTCGGCGCGGCCCAAGAGGCAATCAAGCTTCTTGCCACTGAAACTGGCCTTTCTTTCATCAAGGATGTGATAGACAGGCACATCTCCATGGCGAGTCAATTAACACCGGGATGTCAACTCTGGGAGACAGAAATCAAGCCACTCTTTCAGCTGGTGACTCATGCTCGCGTCGTTGACTCTGCGGTTTTAGAACAGGAGGTCGCCATCATTCTTAATTATATGGTTGGAGTGGGAGGGTCTAGGATGAGCAAGCTCTTCCACTACATCGACTCGCTCTTTCAATTGTGGGAATACAACTCAACACACCTGTCCCTTCTAGAGGCAGCTGGTCTGTCTCTTGCAGTATTAGCCAAGATGCTAGATTGCAACACCACGAATATCATCAAAGATGATTTCTCAACATTCGCGAGTTGCTTATCTCGCCCCTTGGAAGAATCAGCGGAACCAGAAGAGATGGTTTTTCGCTTTCAGGCTACCAAACATCTTCACTATATCCGCCAACGTCTTCAAATCGGAAACCACATATCAAATCTGGAAGTTCAGAGCTACAGTGCCATCACTCAAGAAATGTTTGTTTTGGCCCGAGACTTGCCTGGCAACCTCTCACCCGGAGGGCCAAGGCACGACAACGATCACGCAGACATAGCCGACATAAAGATTTTGCCCACGTACGAGGAGATTATGTCGCCGCGAGAGGAATATTTGCCAGTAAACGACTGTTCTCAATGGCATATTCCAGGCATTAGCGGACGGCTGGACAGAGAATTTCGCTTGATACGAGAAGATACAGTGGGCCAGCTACGTGATGCGATTCGTGGCGCTCTGGAACGTATTCGCAGTTCTAACAATAAAGCCAGCCATAGAACAAGCAATAATATCTTACGCACATACACATACGATTCCGCTATGCTGATCAACATTCGGTTCGAGAAAAACACCGGCCTGGACTTTGTTGTCCGCTGTGACCAGCCTCCGCCTGTTCCATCACTGAATCCTCAGCAGAGGAAGGACTGGTGGGAAAGATCAAAACGACTTCAGGTCGGGGCGTTAGTTTGTATCATTGACGGAACCGAATCGGTCATGTTTTGTACGGTGTCTGAATCGACCTTGAGGAATCAAACCGAACAAAAAACTCGAACGGAGAAGAAGCCAGAACAAAATACATCTACAGCGTCTAAACTGACACTTTCTGATGACGGAAACTATTTGCATGTCAACCTACAGCTTATTGACGCCACACGAGATGATGTCGCTCAAGCTCTTCGATGGTACAAGACCAAAGGCCCGTCGCGCTACAGATATCTCGTGGAATTTCCCGGTATTCTCTTGGCATCGTTCAAGCATACACTTGATGCTCTTAAGGAAATGCGACAGAAGCCACATATGCCCTTTGTCGACCTCTTGGCGCCGCCGGATACTCGGACTACAGAGCCCAGTATTGAGCCCCCGCAATATGCCAGGGCAGCCGGTTTCGCATTCGACCTGAGGTGCCTCACGAATGATGGCGCTGAGCTTCTTGTTTCGCCTCAGCGGCTCCCAAATCCAGAGATAATTGAGTCACTGACTTCTCTCGATATTACACAATCTTCCGCTCTCTTGAATACTCTATCTCAAGAATTGTCGCTCATTCAAGGCCCTCCAGGTACCGGTAAAAGCTATACGGGTGGAATGATTATCAAGGGCCTGTTAGCAAACAAAGATAAATGCACCCTTGGGCCAATATTATGCGTCTGCTACACCAATCATGCCTTGGATCAGCTTCTTGAACATCTTCTTGACGACGGCATTTGCAACATCATTCGTATAGGGTCTCGATCAAAATCAGATAGGTTGCAAGCTTTAAACTTACGAGTTGTATCTCAGCAAGGCGACCGCACAAAAGCAGAAAAGACAAACCTTTACAATATGGGCCAGGAGCTTGACGTTTTAGCTGCCGGCATCGAAGATTCGCTCCGTGCACTATCGACGCCCAACTCGGCAAGTTCTCTCAAGAAATATCTTGCCAACGTCTTTCCTGTACATTATACTATGCTGTTTGATGTCGACGAGGACGGATGGGAGACAGTTGATAAACCTCAAACTATCATGCGAAGGTGGCTGGAAGGGGGCTCCCGCGACAATGATTATTGTCGAGATATCGCGATCTTGAGGGAAACAGAGTTGTTTAACATGTCTAATGCCGAGCGCCAAGAGTTATATCTGTACTGGGTAAAGAACAGTGTAGCTTCAATTGTTCGAATCATCACGCAGCTGCAGGAAAAACATACGGAACTGATAGAGCGCCGCAGCCGCGTACGCAGCGATGTGGATCTCCGTTGCCTTAATCAAGCCAATATCATCGGAGTCACAACGACCGGGTTGGCAAAGAATCTTCATCTTCTCCGAAAATTGCGAAGCAAGGTCATGCTTTGCGAAGAGGCTGGTGAAGTCTTGGAGGCTCACATTCTAACGGCCCTGCTCCCTTCAATTGAGCACGCCATCTTGATTGGCGATCACCTTCAGCTTCGCCCACAGATCCAGAATTATGAACTACAGAGCACGAATCCCCGAGGGAAGCAGTATTCTCTAGACACTTCTTTATTTGAAAGACTTGTTGAGCCGCCACATTTGAAAGACTTACGCCTGCCATTCTCAACGCTGGAAACACAAAGACGGATGCACCCATCGATATCTGAGCTGGTACGATCCACATTGTATCCGTCTCTACAAGACGGTGACATTGTAAAGAATTACCCAGCAGTTGTGGGTATGAAAGAGAGGCTATTTTGGCTTCACCACGATCAGCTGGAAGCTGGCGCGGCTAGTCATGACCCCCTGAATACCTCGCATTCAAATGATTTTGAAGTTGAAATGACTGTGTCTCTCCTGTCTCATATCGTAAGACAAGGGGAATATACCAGGGAGGATATTGCGGTCATTACCCCGTACTTGGGACAACTACACAAGCTCCGACGCCGAATGGAGGCCATGTTTGAGATCTGCCTCAACGATCGCGACCTCGCAGAGCTGGAGGATTTTGAAGATAGAGATAAGACTACGCCTATAGCCCTGGTAAAGCAGCCTGCCAAATCTACTCTTCTGAAGAGCGTTAGGATGGCAACAGTAGACAACTTTCAGGGCGAGGAAGCAAAGATTATCATCATCTCTCTCGTTCGAAGTAATCAGCAAAAGAAGTGCGGCTTTCTCAGCACTTCCAACAGAATCAACGTCCTGTTATCGCGCGCAAAACACGGCATGTACATTATCGGCAACTCTGACACGTACCATAACGTTCCCATGTGGGAAGAGGTTATCAACATGCTCAGTGCCAAAAGTCTACTGGGCGAGAGCTTGGAACTTCAATGCAGTCGACATCCTGACTCGCCGATCAAGGTCTCGCAACCGGACCATTTTGTCATCTTCTCTCCAGAGAGCGGATGCAACTTGTCATGTGATAAGAGACTTCACTGCGGTCACTCGTGTACTGGAAGATGTCATTCTGATCTTCTTCACAATACCGTTAAATGCCTTGAGCCGTGCCCCAGGCCACAAACAGGCTGCAGCCACCCTTGCCCTCGAGCATGTGGCGATGCGTGCCCAGACAGATGCTACTTCCAGTTAGATGATATCGACCTTGCTCTTCCATGTGGCCACAGACTCTCTTCGGCAAAGTGTTGGGAAACCCAAAACCCCGCCTCTGTTCGGTGTAGAGTTCTCGTCAGACGAACTGTGCCGGGCTGCAGTCATGAAGTCGACGTTCAGTGTCATGTAGATGTCACATCTGCCAAATATCGCTGTACTTCTCGATGTGGTCATCACCGTGAGTGTGGCCATACATGCAATAGCTTCTGCTACAAATGCAATACTCGAGATGATGGTAAAATTACGGAGCAGAACCACGGTATTTGCGAACAGATCTGCGGTCGTGGCTATTCGATGTGCCGCCATAGCTGTTCCAAGCCTTGCCACGGCGACGACAAGTGCCCCCCCTGCCAGCAGCCATGCGAAGTGCGTTGCGGCCATTCAAAATGCAACAAGGCGTGCAATGAGCCCTGTGCACCTTGCGCAGAGAGTACATGCCACTCGAGCTGTAATCACACAAGCTGCAGCATGCCGTGCGCCGCGCCATGCGACTGGGTTCCATGTTCCAAGCGGTGCGAGAAGGTACTGAGATGCGGCCATCAATGTAAGTTATATATTACACGATCTCCCATACGCCTTACCCAAAAGCTAATGTAAGACTGCAGGCCCTTCTCTCTGTGGAGAGACTTGCCCCAATGAACGCTTTTGCCAACAATGCGCCACCGAAGATATCAAAACTTTATGCGTTGACTTTCTCGAGATGAAGGAATACCACGAAATTGACTTGGACCAAGAGCCCTGTATTTTCCCCGACTGTGGGCACTTTTTGACCACTACGTCTATGGACGGCCAGATGGAGATGGCAGCGTGGTACGATATGGATATGGATGGTCATCCAATACAGCTTGGAAGGGCGTCTGAACCTTTCTCACTGGACGACTCGAGCTCTCCAGTTTGCGCCACCTGCCGCGGCTCACTCCGAAACATTGCCAAATACGGGCGAATTGTAAGACGGGCCATGCTCGATGAGTCAACCAAGAAATTCATCGAGTGGTCTCACGGGCAATATCTCTCGTTGGCAACTCATCTGCTGAAAGAGCAAGAAAAGCTTGGGCAAGAGCAGAGGACCATGGCAGCCTCATCAACGGCCAAAGACGGCAAACTAACGCATTATGCCTCAAGACTTAGACAACTTCGAGCGTTGGAAAGGATTGCGGACAATGGCCGGTACAGCTCTATCATTAACTTGTGGAGGAAGATTGGCTCATATGCAAGTGATGTTAAAAGGGAAGAACAGCCGTTTCAGCGAGTAGCTGATTTTGTTCTACTTGCCAATCGTCATAATAAGACACGTGGAGAATTTCGATTTGATGACTCTATCAACCAGATCAAGGGCTCTCTTCTTGCAGATACGCTTCTGCTCAAATGCGACCTTGCCATTCTCTTCGACTTCCAGCGCCTGGCTAAAGATGAAGCATTGGAGCTGGCAAAGTTCAAACTGGATCTATCAAGTCACTGGTCTGATTCTATGCGTCTCATTGAATTGTCTCATAAATATGTGTATGCGAGAGAAGAAGTTCAGGGGCACATTTTCGCCGTGCAGCTCTGTGTACTATGCTCATTCTTTGATAAGATTACTACCATGTGGCCTGCTGATAAGCAGAGCATTGAGAACCTGAAAGAAGAGGCGCTATACCACATCCAAAAAGCCCGTGTATTGGTGGAGGAATATCCATCTGCAGCAATGTTCGACGATGAAATTGACCGTCTTGAGATCCTGGTTAGCGATGGAATCTATCACCCTGTCACGGCTGAGGAGATGCGAGCCGTGTACAAGGCAATGTCGAGGGAGTTATTGGGTACAGGGCACTGGTTTACGTGTGAGAATAACCATCCCTTTACGATTGGAGAATGTGGCGCAGCTATGGAAGAATCTTCCTGTCCCGATTGTGGTGCCAAGATAGGAGGAAGTAACCACGAGGCCGTAGAAGGGGTGAGATACGCAGCAGAGATTGAGACTCTTGCACGAGGAATGGGTGGATTGGGAATCTAGACAGTCGTGTAACAAGTTGACTGATGATTTGATTTGGTGTGTTTTACTGTATTATACTCGATTATATTGTGTGTCATTTCTTTCGTTGTTATTTTCACTACTAGAAAGTGATGATAAAGTCAAGTTGGACTAAAATGAAACTGATTTCAAAAGTTCACACGTGTCACGCTCAGTCGCGGCTGCCAGCTGCACGCCCAATACTTGCTTCCCTGATAAACTCTTTTTCTTCCCCTAGAACCAAAATCATCTGCTTTCTCCCTCATACAGCGTTTTACAATGAGAAAAAAAAAGCCCATAAATATCATTCTCTGCATCATGCCTCCGATTCCGCAAAGCATTCTCCGCGCCGAGGAGCAGTTACTTCGCATCGAGCTTCGACGGCCCTTTGAACTGGAGGGAAAGGAGTATTTCCTATGGAAGGTTCGCTCAGAGCGAGAGGGAATCCACCGCAGCCAGATCTACGTGGCCGCCGTGATGCTCACCTACTCGCCATCAATCCTATCTATCGATAATCTACCACGGATGGACGTTGATGACTTCCACGACACATGCAACAAATCGTTCTCGTTGTACATTCCTCGATACAGAAAATGGAGTTTGCTCTTTACGGCTCTTCACAACTACATCTACCGACGATGGTTCCAACCGTACCAAAGCGAGATCGAACACCAGCGTTTCCTCTGCAAGTTTATCGCTCCTCGCGACTTGCCCAAAAATGGGCGGATTACGCCAGTATCGATCCAGGGCATACTCTGGCTACATGAAGCCATGTGCGACGAGGTTGAATCACGCCGTCACCACTACGAAAACCTGTACCGTCGCTACAGCGAACCGTATGCATTACTGACGGAACTCCCTGCGCGACCCAATCTTTACGTTCTGCAGCCGTTGTTCAAAGCACTGCTGATGATATGCTGCTCTAAAGAGTATGGCGGAGAAGACTCGACTCAAGTTGGAAAACTCCCAGTCTACCTGGTCCGAACCCGCTTCGAAGATGAGCTCAGCGAACCCATATCCTTCTTACCCATCGCAGCCAAGATAGATTGCTACCTGGGGGCCGGTCAAGGAACAGTTAGGACATCGCTCGAAACGGCCATAGACTTTGTTATGGACTTGGAGAAGAGAGAGAGAGATGCTTTTGGTCTTCATCCCGACCCGTGGAGGCCCGACACTTGGACAATGAATTGGTTTCAAACGCCGCTGGGGGCTGGACGGTTGGTTGGGCCAAGTTCGTGGCTCGTAAACCCTGAGAGCGGAATGAGTTGGGACGGTGATGGTTATGATGTTGATCGTATGTTGAAGGCTCTAGAGAAGCAGGAGTTGGAAAACAAGGGCATCTCCACTGATGTTGTTTGAAGGTCAAGCGTTGGGGGAAAGGTGGCCTCCTGGTATGCCAGAAGAAAGGGCTTTGCGATATTAGCTGTACATATACGATAGAACTTTTACAATTTGAAATGGAAAAGTTATCTAGCACAGCCATTTCGTTATGTACAACGCCCCAGCTGTAGCATAAAACGACACCTAGTCCACGTATCAATACACGACTGCCAAATACATTTAGAAGTACACAGCATCAGCATCAGCAGCTCTTTCCATTGTAACTTCATGCGCAAAATATTCCCCATTTTCATCGATTCACGTCTTCTCTTTTTATCTGGGCTCAGCGTCTTTTTCTCGACATATCCTTTGGGTTTCTGTCAACATGGATGTCTTTTCCCTTTCATCGTCAAGAAGTCAATCATTTTACAATCACTCGCCATCCTTCAACCATGGCCGAGGCTTTTGTCACCGATGTGTTAGTAAGTGTTTCAATCGTCTTTGATGAACAGCCTATTGATGCCGAATTGCTTTAGGCCGAACAATCACTCAAAGAACCGCTCTCTCCATCGCTTCCCGACGATGAATCACTCCCAGACGCTGAGCTGCCATCGGATGATGAATCGCTCTCTGACGAATCGACCTTTGAAGAGCCACCCAATGATATCTCGCTCTCTGATTACTCACTTTCTGACGAATCACTCAACAAAGAATTTGCACACCGGCCTAAAGATATCGAAGAATACATCAACTCATTAACTTGGCTTTCTGTTTATACAGACGTCCCAAACACCCGTTTGGCCGATGCATACCGGGTATTACTTGTAGATAAAGGATACATCCAAATAAATTTGCTCGGACACGCGGCTGGTTTTTCCCTTAACACTTATGGATACCTGTATTCTTCAATCGGAATTCCCACCTTCATTAGATTTCTTTTTGCTCTCTCGACACTAAGCCAAGCTGTGGAAAAGTTGAGGGAATCTACATTGTTCTGATGGAGAAAACTGGCGATAAGCCAAAACTCTATGTGGGCTCTGGCACTAGCTCTGAAGACGGTGTTCGACAAAGGTTTTGGCAAAATGACAAAACGTTATCTAATGTCTCGGTATATGTGGGATGCATTCTCCAAGGGTTACACTAATATGAATATTGGCTTACTTTGCTGGGCCCCAATATCTGCTGCCAATCTGCGCCCTTCAACTATCGCCTTCGGTTTCTTGCCATAGTAGCTGTTTTCTGCATTATCTTTCTTGCTAGCCCAACATCACTGGACTCAAAGTGGTCACAAACCTTATGTTGGGGGACGCCTGCCCCGACGTCCCCAGAAGGCAGGAGACCCCGAGCCTCTTATGAGCGCTATATAGCCGCGACACCCCGTAGATAGTCAGATGGAGGAATCAAGCCTTATAGATCGCACTATACGTGCCCTACGTTTGAGACCGTAGCTCACGTCCCGAGATTTGGCTCCCTTTGTGTGATCCCTCGCTGGACCCGCAACATCTTACTTTAGCAAAGGGAATCTGTGACCTGACTTCATCTTTTCAGTGAGTGTGGAGGGTCGAAGGATGTTAAAGCAAACTAGAAGATATAGGCGGCTTGTCTGAGCTCGATGATTTCTTGTTTGTGTTGCCAGCTCTACTCTTTACAATAAGACCTTCAGCTTCACAGCCTATCTAGACCGGCACTCTCAATCTAAGGTTCATCTACACTAAACTACCACTACTGCTACTATTGCTACTATTGCTACTATTGCTACTATTGCTACTATTGCTACTATTGCTACTATTGCTACTATTGCTACTATTGCTACTATTGCTACTATTGCTACTATTGCTACTATTGCTACTATTG